CTAAAATTAGATTAGTTTCCTTTAGCCTACTGACAAACTCAACACTACACATGTCCTGTGACATTTACTTTGATCTTATACTTTCTTTAATGTTCTAAAGAAATCGGTGCTGGATAGTTGAATTCGAGGGACGTCGGAATTATCAACTTTCTGAAGCGTTTTAGCAGATAAAGTGAGTAACTTGGTTTGGTGTTTTAGACTGACGATGAATGGTGAGTTTAGACAGGTGGAGAAAGGTTTGCGGCTACGACCCACATCATTTCAGTCAGTACATCGGTAGACGACGCTGCTAGCTGTCCAAGATGGAGTTTCCGGAGTTTCCCCAGATATAAAGTCACGTGCCACATTAAAAAAAACAGCATCACTGTTTGTGCTGTTCATGTGCAAGTGATGATCTAGTTTTTGAGACTTCTGACACAACATATTGTGATGTGAACAAACGTTTTTAATGACTTGTTCAAACTGAAATCAAACGTAAGTGAAGACGTCATTCAGTGGGAACTGATTAGATTACCCCTCGGCAATTTGAAGATGGTGATCTGTGTTTCAAAGTATATACAAAACCTCCAAGACAACGGAATTTTGAGTTTTTTAAGCACTACTTTAACATTTTATTTGTTTATTTTAACTGCCATATTCAAATATCGGATCCAGGGTCGGTAGCTAACACTAAATCCTGTCACAGGTTGGAACATTTAAAGTATGAGAGATGGTTCTGCGAGGAAAATGTAGCGAACGAATGTCCTAAAACAAAATCCATGCTCGCAGCTTTTGAACTTTTGACTTTTTAACACACTCAGATGACGTCACTTCCTCATCGCCGTGTCATCTAAAGTCACAGTGGTGTGTTTTGGGCGCAGGAATACGTTGTGATGTGGTGGACCATAGATCACGTCAACCAAAACCGAAACTTTTTTTTCTCATTCTGAAGACCACATTTGCCAAGAAGAGGAAATCATTCATGCTGTTAAGGACAGAGTCTGAGATTTATTGCAGTTTCTAAGAGCTGGAAATGTGGAAATGACTACAGTGTGAAATATAATACAGTATTCTGATTCCAAGAAGCCAGACATTGCTTTTTCACTCTCTTTGTTAGTCCAATCGTTGTACCTGTTTATTTAATGGGGAGTGGTTTTTTGTTTGTTTGTTTTGCTTATTTTTTTGTTTGTTGAAACAGTAACGCTGACCTAAAAATTATTCAAGCATAAAAAGGCACCTTAGTCAGAGAGTTAAACCATTTTTGTGTCTACACATAACAGATACATTAGCAAAGTAAACAACTGCTGATTCCTGGTGTTCCTGGATAAAAACAGAACACACTACCAGTCATGGATTGGCCTCCGCAGAGCTCAGACCTCAACATTAGTGAAGCAGCAGCAGTGGGATCATCCTGACAGGAAACAAAGTAAAAGGCTGGTAACATCCAAAGAAGAGCTTTCAATGACCTTCAGTAAGCCTGGAGAACTATTCCTGCAGATGAAGGAAATGACAAGAAAGCCTGCCTAAGAGTGATGAGGCTGTGTTAAAGAATGAAGGTGGTCATACCAAATACTGCCGTTCAAGCGGTTTCTCTCTAAATGTGGCACTAAATCCACCATCTGGAAGAGATTCTAGGTGTGCTGAAGTTTGCCATTCACCTTTTCTCATGTTGTACAGTAAAACCAAAATATTTAATTAGTTGACATATGCATGGTAATCACAGCAGGTTTCTTCTGGCAGTCTTGGAGAAACTTCACGATTGGGTTTAATACATGTGTCACTGACTTGGTCAGCTGTTCAGTTCATGCTGTTTGTTGCCAGCACTCGGTGGCGCAGGCCCGGCTCAGCCATAGAAACCGAATGCTTTTCAGCGCAGCTGCAGTGTTTACACCCTGGGCTCGTGTCCTCTGGAGCATGCTTATATTTAGTGAAGGATGGCTGCTCTCAGCTACAGTCTCCGCCTCGGTGCTTCATACACCTCTCAGCAGCAAGC